TCAATAAGATTTATTTTGAAACTTCCAAATTGATAGTAAAGCTTAAGAATACAAATAATAAGTGCAAATATCTCAGATGTGCAATGCAGCATTAAAACCTAAACAGTACAAACAGAAAACATAATGAAATAAAACGGTAGGGGGTGAATTTATTATTCCATGTACATTTGAGTTTAATGTGTGTACTGGGCTACTTTTTCGTTACAGCAGCTATCACTGTGTTGTTATGAAGTCAGATGTGCCAGACAATTTTGGAGGCAGAGACAGATTGTGGGGGGCACTAATAGGGAAAAACTTAAACTGTTGGAATAAAGAGTTTTAAAGGGTTAGTGATGGAAAACTTGCAGGTCAATGGGCATCAGTGTTTAAGGTTGATAAACACGCGTACACGGACGCATATAATACTACCCGCCTGACATTGGCATGTGTTATTCAGGTGTCAAAGTTGTGCAGAGTTGAAGGAAGAAACCTCAAAGACAGTGCCAGAAGGATGCTGGACAGGTAAAGCCTACAAATCTTGCCACATTAATCAAACATTGTGGTGTCAATAATTGATGACTAGTCTATTCTTGGGCTATGATTAGACGTCTATTAGATTTTCACTGACAGCCCAAATTTAGCCTTGCTTTAGCCTAGACCCATATTCACCGTCTATTAGACGTATAGCCTATATGTAGTCGTTTAATAGCGGTCTACTTGATGACTAGTCTATAAATGGGCTATGATTAGACGTCTATTAGATTTTCACTGACAGCCCAAATTTAGCCTCGTTTTAGCCTAGACGTCTAGGCTATATTTAGACGTCTAATAGACGTCTTTTAAACGCAAAATTGCTTGCTGGGTACCATCAAAGATAAGAGAGTGATTCAAGACACACTCCTACTCCTGCAAGGCTTACAAGGAAAGTAATGAGACCTGTGATTCAAGCCCTAATACACCGGAGAAAAAACTTTCCAAGAAAGCGCGCAAAGAACAGATGCAAGTAAGTTATGAACCATCTTTGGCCGAGTTACAAGACAATATCATTCGTGTTATCACTGCAAAAATCAATGAAAGAGCAGATCAAACTGATGAAGCTGTTAAACATAACACGCTGCAAATAGAGGGGCTTAAAAAATCGCTGGACTTCTGTCATCAAGAAGTGGTAGATCTAAAAAAAAGAAAACGCTACAATGAAGATGAGAGTGGAACAAATACAAAAGAAAGTGAATGAAATGGAGCAAAAGGTGAATGATGCTGATCGGTATAGCCGTCGGTACAATCTTCGTGTATATGGAGTAGCCGAAGAGCGGGAGGAAAACATCAAAGTTATTAAAAATATACTTGAACTTTACTTAAGTATACTTACTAAAATAAACTTGAAGTATACTACTTTTTGGTAAGGGGACGCTGTCCTTCGGGCCGAAATCAGTTTTACGGTATAGCCGTCGGTACAATCTTCGTGTATATGGAGTAGCCGAAGAGCGG